GAGGGTTTACAGGTTTGTGAAAAGTTTAAATTATATTTTAGAATCCTCTCTTGTTCTTCTGAAAGACTAAAATTAGAAATATTAACTATTAGTTTGATGTTTACAATGGGAAGATTTTTTGAATTACGTGAACTGGAACACTATAAAAGAATTTTTTCGAATTTAACTGCAAGAGTGTTTTTATGACGGTTAACTGCATTCTCCATTCTAGAAGGGCAGTGAATTTTGGATATGAATTAGAGAGTTCCAGATGAAGCTTATAGAGCTCATGTTCAGTTTTGGACAATTGTTGACATGTATCCCTTATGATGGACCGAAGTAAGGCAAGCTTGCAGTTTAACAGAATTCTTGAAACGCGACTGGAAGGTTTTTGATTAGATTTGATTTGAATGAAATTGGGGATAAATTTTTTTACATTACACTTAAGTAAAAAGTCAAGATGATTCAGGAATTTTTGTCATTTCAGGCGTAACTTAGTAAAACGATTAACGGATGAAGGCATGATAAACTTTTAGTGTTTTGAAGGTAATAAAGATGATTTAAATAAAGTTATTTCAACAATGAATTCTATTGATCCTGCTATTCAGTTCACTTTTGAACTTAAGAATTGCAATTCTCTTCCGTTTCTCGACATTCTGGTCACATGTAACACATCCAACTTCAGTACTACGGTTTACCGTAAACCTTCATCGGTTTGCCTTCCACCACACTTGATTAATCAAATCAAGTCCTCCGACTAAACAAAAAGATAAAATTCATTTAAATCATGTCAAATTTAAAATCAGATCATGTCATCCGACTAAACAAAAGTTAGCTTCATGTTATTCCTATGTTTTCCGTGCTCTTCAAGTTTGCTCCTCCAAACTAGCCTTTGATGAAGAACTAATTATTTAAAATCAATAGCTATTGACAGGGGCTTTTCACCCAACCTTATTAATCAAGCAGTTAAAAAATTCTCATCACGACACACCCAACAGGCAAACTCTTGTTTTAGGAGATTATAAAAATTCTGCTGTCATTCCCTTCATTCCATCAATTAGCTATAAAGTTGCACGTATTTTACAGAAATTTAACTTTCAGGGTCATTTCTATTCTCCCATCAATAAAATTACAAGTTCCATACTTAAGGACCTCATTCCAGATATGAATTCTGGAGATATTTACAGGATTCCTTGCCAGTGTTGGCTTAATTTACATTGGCCAATAAGACAGTCTTAAAATTTTGTATTAATGAATATGAGGTATATGTTAGGAAAAAGGAAACACAGAAATCCTCTGTTACCCAGCATTGGTGATCCCAAAATCACCCTCTCCATTTTTCTGCCATGAAAATTATTCAAAAAAACACCTTCCATTGGTGAATTAGATTTTTTGTAGGCATTTCACATCCAAGAAAATCTACTTAATGATCCTAATTCCAATCCACCTTTACTTTTAGACTTTAAGGAAATTATGTTTTAGTTTTGCTGCTTCATCAATAGATGGCGGTAGTAGCTTAACTCCTGTCCAGCCATTCTTATCTTATTTTTTCACAATATTTCCTATCTTGTTCATTTGCAGTTTGCAGCTGTGGATGGTGGTTCGGTAAAACCATCGAAACTAATCCTTCGAAAATTTTGAAAATATAATGCAGATTTTTGTTGTTTGACTTCTGAATTAGCATCAATCAATTAATGGATGGCGAAATCTGTTGTATGATTCTAGATGTAGAAAATACCGCTATCAGTTGTGAAGAAAGTGACTGAGAGGTTACTGAAAACGAAAAAAATTTGATTGACAAGTTAGTCAGAATTCTCGACTCAGTTACAGGACTTCAACAGTGTAACTGAACAAGAAACTGTGTCTGTGTACAGAATTAAAGAGAAAGTATTAGCACAAAAAGTGAAGCAGCTTAAACAACTTACAATGAAAGAAATGTTTAATAAATTAAACAAATTAATATTATAAGTTTTTTTGTAAATTTTGATACCCTTTAGATCATAATTTCATATTTCGAATTTTATAACTTCTACATGCCATCTTAGTAGTTTTAAACTGGCAATCTAATATTCGGATGCGCAGAAAATCCCAAATTTGGGATTGGGGGAGTCCCGACAAGTCCAGATCTTTGACTTTGTACTGTAGTAGCTTGGAACCCATACCATCCTCATGCTTCCATCTTATTGTTATTAATCAGTGGGACAAATTCACATCTTCAGAGTTATTATTATTTACTGTAGCACTTCATAGCTTGCTCTGGTTTACAGACATTTTCAAATTTTGCTTAATCTTAGATGCTACCACATTACAGTACTTAGCAACATGATTTTAATTCTTGGTTAGGACTCGTGTTTTTTCTCCCCGTCAAAGATTATTTGCTATTTAGTTGAAAGTTTCTAAACAGACTTTTTATTAGTTTAGGCATGAAAGCCCAAAGGACTATTTGGTCACAAGAAAAAGAAATCTGCAACACTGTCAGTCTTCCAGATTTCTTTGCTCTTGATGAAGACAGGCTGTACCTGTTTGCCCTCAAAATCTGTTCAGATCTTGACTCAAATCTGTGCCAAACTCAATGTTATTGTGTTACTAATTTTATCTTTCACGTGGTGTGTTTCTCTTCTACTTTTATCTCACTTTGTTGTAATATCAGAATTTTCATAATGTCAGGCATTCTATGTATTTTGAAATAGCCATGCATTGTAGTTTCATTTGAAATTTTCTCTTTTTATAATGTACTAATGTTTTTAATAAATTTTCCTGAAATTGTAATTCAGAACAACTTACTGCAGTAACTTCTCGATTTACTAAAACACGATTTACATAAATTTGCAGTTATATAAGTGTGTAAGAGCTGTAGCATGCGAACCAAAACCTACTACCGTATTTGACGGTATATAAGACGCACTTTTTTTCCTAAATTTGGTCTCAAAAAAGTTACCTGCATCTTACACGTGAAGGACACAGTCTTATAGTAAGGTAATTGCATTCAATAATGTTATTGGCTTTACAAAACGTGAGACTAAAAAAACCCGCTATTGAACTTTTTTCCCTTGTGTGTGGCCGTCTAAATAAGGTGCGTCTTAGATGCCGTCAATACATTAATTAAAATAAGGCCTTTGTAAACAATTCCTCCTTTTCTCGACCATACTTCCTTAAACAATACAGTCAAAAGTCGTTAATTCAGATCTCAAAGCTAAAAACTTTCTGCGCATGCTCATAGGCGTTTAAGACCTTTACGACTGCGAATATGTGTGCGCAGGCGTAATGTGTAACGACGGTATATAAGCTAATCTAAAATTATCTATACCGTTAATGTTGCAGATTGCGTTGTTCCTTAATTTCTAATTGGATCGGCTTATTATTTTTAAGACTGTAGAGCAATTTATAAAAGTAAGATGACCTTTCGATTAGTCAAAAAAAATAGAATTTCCGATATATATTTACTAATCTGTAAAGGATTTACAGAGCGCAAGTATGTTATGAAATCCGAAATCTGTTTATCAATTTCACGCTGCTCTGTGGCGGTGTGGGGTGGGGGAAACGCAGCGCAATGAATTGGAAGTTGATCTGTCAGCACTATCCCTATCTTCAGGGGAGATATTTTTATTTTATTCGTCTTATAATTCCTTTCTAAATGTAGTATTTCATCTCGATATACTCCGTCTTTGATGTGATTTAAATCAAGTTCCTCATCATTATAATTTGCTTCCGATAGTGAAGAAAGTAACAGAGAGGTTATTGAAAACGAAAAAATTTTGATGACAAATAGTCGTATTCCAACACAGCAATTGTAGGACTTGAACAGCGGAACTTTTAACTAAACAAGAAATATGTCTGTTTGATGAATTAAAGAGAAAGTATTATCACATGAAACGAAGCAACTTAACAACTTAATTGAAAGAAATGTTTAATAAAGTAAACAAATAAATATAAGCTTTTCTTTTTGTAAATTTTGATACCCTTTAGATCATAATTGTTTTTTATTTCATAAATTACGGTTTCATATTTTTAATTTTGTAATTTCTGCATACCATCTTACCAAATTTAAACTGATGATCTATAATCCGGAATCACCGAAGTTCCGACGAGTCCGGATTAACGACTTTTGACTGTATTTGTCTGTTAATATATACATACATATTTCTGATAATAGTAAATGTTGCAGTTTTTTTTCACTTTACAATATTGCAGTTTTTTTCACTTCCAAAAGTTACAATTAAGCAGTCTGTTTCATTTGACCTGTATAAAGTTTAAGTTATTTAAAGGTTTATTTAATGCATTACTTACATAAATTTTGGGGTGGGTTACAGAATACCGGTCTCTTAAACACAACATCAAGGTTGTTTTAATGGCCTTAGTATTTTTTAAAAACATTTTTATTCTTTTATTATAGAATTGTAAGTTAATGCATTGGATTACCGGGAAAGTGCTACTTGAGCATAGCATTGATGTGCATTTTGTTCAAAAATTAAATTCAGTTATTGCACAAACTAAGCATCATTTACTTAAATGGTCTGCTGTCTTTTTCTCATTACTGTAGAACTAAAAAGGAAAGGCCAAAAGTAAGAGACTTAGCTTTGTTGACATGTTCTCCAAAGATGCAATTGGGAATAGTTTTCTGTGGGAGAAATGAGCAGTACAGCTAGGGTTAAATAAAGTATTTTTGGAATAATGAAAAATTAAATTATAGCATTGATATCTGAAACCAAATCAGTATTGATTCTCTTTGAAAGAGGTAGATAATCCTGCTATGATTTAATTAGATTAAAGATTAAAAAACCCCAAAACTGATAAATCGGCATTCACTGTTTTATTTCAAGCACACACGTATTATAAAAATGCGTGCTCTTCTAAATTAAGGAATTAACATTATAATATTTACATATAAGAATAAGATATGTTTTGGAAATGTCTTCCAAATTTTTATTAGAGTTGTTTGAAATATCAAACTTTATTTTACTATTTGCTTTCCTACAAACTAAAGCATGAAAAATATTTTTTTCATTCTTTCTTTCTAATAGTGCCTCCAGATTTGTGCCTATTGGGTTGTGTTTTTTGTATTGAAGATTATGATAAGTCAGTGGAAAGTGATAAATTATCCATGTGGAAAAAGGTGAGTTTTTCAGGTACTTATACATTAACATAACCTTATATATTAACATAACCTTTGTAGCATGATTTAGTTTTTTTTTTTTTTTTTTTAATGCAAATTAAAAGGTTAAAAACTACTTATCTGGGGCAAGTTAGCGATTTTCGCGATATTTTTAAAAGCATTCCCAAATTATCAGCATTTATCGAAATTGACAAACATTGTCAGCATAGCAGAAGAAAACACATTTTGAAAATTTAAAATATAAATTTTAATTATCAAATACGAATTAAATGATGCATCAAAAATACATATGTTATGATATTCTTCTCTTAGTACTGTTCTCCCCATGTGCAGTGCAATCTGTTTTTGCTTTAAAAAATGTCAGAGTTTCACAAACTCAGAGTTGTACACTGGTTATCTGCTAAATGCATCTCATCATTGTTCCTTTTAGTGATTTTTGTGGTAAAAGTGTATTCCTGCAGAAATTTTACCATAATTTTTCCCATCATTAGTAAATTCCACCAGCAATATTTAAAAATGTAATTAATCTAAAAATATCACAATTCATCTATAAAAACTGTTGGAAATTAAACAACAAAAAGAATGCATACAAAAATGGCTATGTTGCTTGCATTTTGTTATCATCATTTCCCACAAAAACAATTTAAATAATAACAAAGATATATCATCTGAAGGCTTTATTTTATTTAATTTAGATTTAAAATTTAGTTAAAAATCAAAATATCATTTCTATAAAAACTGTTGGAAATTAAACACAAAAACATACAAAAATTTATGTTGCTTGGTTGCATCTTTTATATCATAAAAAACATTTTAATATATATATATATATATATCTGAAGGCATTCAGATTTTACATTACGCCCAAAGGGGCACTTTTTAACGTTTTGTGCATTACGTTTATTAAATTCGTGCTTAAAGGGTAAAAAACAGCAATATCGCAAAATAATTTTAGACCATATCTTTAGAATTTCTAATACACAGTCTCGCACGCTGGAGATAAAAAAATTTTTTTTTTCCTCTTATGGTGTTGCCATTGTTCGCTTGGAAATCATTGAGTTTGTTAATCAAAAATTCGTTAAAGTTTTACAAAATACGAAAGGGATAATAAAACAAATTCCAAATTCCAAATTTGGGCTTGCAGATGCACATATTTGGGTGGAAACATATGTTATTTAAAATTTGATGGCTCTAGGTATCATTGTTTTATCACAATGCGAGAAACATATATACATTGTTGCAGAGTCTTCATTATTTAATTTCTTTAAATATAATACAGTGCTCTAATATTTGTTGGCAAAAATTTGAAAAGTGAACTGACATTTATAGTGAACCAATGCAAAATGCCAAAATGAAATTAATAGTCCTGAGCAAATTGCATCTTTGGACTAAAAATGTTAATATTTAGTAATTTCAAGTAGTCTTGTTGTGGGAACTGGTACATTAATAGTTATGCTGCTCTTCAAGTTATCACTAACATGTCTTCCTAAACACATAAATTCTGTGCTAAATAAATTTGAAATTGTTCAGATTTTAACAATTGCCCAAAAGAGCTGTTTTCAAGTTTAATATGGTTTATCAGTAGAAATTATCAACAGATATGGCCCAGGTGGAATACTGAAACATTTTATAGGCTATTACATGAATGTGTGTTTAACATGAGAACAGAATATTTTATATCTTCTGTGTATTTGAAAAGTGAAAAAATATGTAATGAAATTCTATGAAAATAATTTAATATGTTTTAATTAGATATGTCATCAATTTGCATTTTTATTTAAATCAGATTAAAAAATAAAAATAAATAATATTCACAAGAAGAGTTGCATTTGTTGCTATTAAACAGTTGTTTGTTAATTAGAAACAGATAAATTAAATATGAAAAAATAATATCTTACATTTTTGCAAATGGCAACAGAATCCAAAAAAAAGTCGAACAATGCAAAATTGCATTTCGAGAGAATAATAGCCCTTTTGGGCTTTAAAAAAAAAAATATGGTTGGAATTAGGAACTTAAATATTAAAGGTATTAAAAACAGTTACCAAAAATAAGTCAACACTGCCTTTCAGAATTATGTGAAACTTAATTTTAAGCTAACCCTGAATTGAATTATTGGAAACTGACTGCTTGAACTCTGATTTATGATCCTATTATGTATAGGTTGAAAGAAATTGAAGAGAGAATTTGGAAATTCCAAACTGAAATAATAACTACAAAGCGAACACATGAAAGCTCTTTAAATATTGTTAAATTATGGAGTTTATTTCCTGTGATGTATATAACTTAACAATTAAATCGGTATAGGCAGAACAACTACACATACAAATAATTGTATGTTTTTTATGCTTCTACCTTTTTTTAATTGCTAGTATAATTTTATTTTATGTAGTGAAAAATTCATTTATACTTTTTTGAGTATTTTTCTGTAGAGTGAATAATTTCCCTAATGTAATAAAACAATTTATTTCAGATCATACAACATCATGGAGGTGAAGTAGAAAATGCATATAGCAGCAAATGTACCCATGTGTTGTGTGAGAATCAAAGGAATTCTGTTGTGCAACAGGTTTGACTCTATTGTACATTTTTAAAGTGATATTTATGTGTTTATTGATTCCCTTTCCCATTGCTTACTGTAATATATTGTTGGTCTTTAAAACTGCAGCATTGCAAAAGATAGGAGCTATCAAAACAGTATTTATTATACAGGTAACTTATGGTGTAAGTATACAATCATTACAGTACAGCTTGATTTGACCTTCATCATATAAAGAAATCGGTATCTGTAGTTGCTGTATCTGCAATAACTGCCAATACACAGCCTGAAGGATGAAGCATTGGATATATATTTGGAGTATGGCATTCTATATAGTATAGTTACTCATTTTTACTAAATTTCACACTTTTACCAAATCTGCAGGTCTTTGTACAGGGTTCATACGGTTCTTAAGAGTTCTTAAAAGTCCTTAGATTTTTTGGAATCGATTTTTGGTCCTTAAAAGTCTTTAATTTTGGCCAAAATCAGCAGAAGGTCCTTAATTTTAATCATCTGATATTTCTGTCTGTTTTTTCAGCTGCCATTTTGAGTGTGAATTAGCACTTTGGAGGAATACATTTGGCGATTCGCTGCCGTATATGTGGTTATCTTTTGAATGGGTTCATGAGTTTTAATTTGTTTCTATTTCTAATATAAATTGAGTATGCCATGATTTTCTAAGCAAGAAGAGAAACATAAGCATTTTGAAATTCATTTTCTCTTATAAAGAGCTCTTAAACAACTTTTCGCTTTTGGGGATGTGAATTTTATTAAACGGTTCTAAATTTGGCGACGTTTCAATATTTTGGCGATTTTCAGATTAGTTTCTATAGAAACTTTTTAATTCCGAGATCTGAGAATTTTTCGACGATTTTTTTTAAAACATCATAGCATTGATAAATTTCATTAAAATTATGGTAATTATATTGAAATTATATTTAAAAAATAACATTAAAATAAACAAAAATATTTTTCACTGTCATATTATAAATTTTCAGTTTGGCAACTTATTATACACTATTTTGAATCTGAAAAATAAACAAGGTATAATGCCATAAAGCACAATTTACAAAACAGCTCTTAGCAAAACCATTCTATTTTTGCTATTGACATAAGCAATTTAGATAACACTTTTAAGTGTTGTTTTGAAGCTTTTTCTGAAAAAAAGATATGTGGATTTGTTCCAACAATCAAGAATACTCAGATTATTGAGGAATTGAAAAGCAGGAAAATTGAGGTCAGTGACACATTTTGCGAGGAAAGTGAAATTGATTTATTGATAGGCACAGATGTTTACTTTGTCTAACTTTAACGTTTGTTTATCTAAACTTTGCTTATCTTTAACACCGCTGCACGCAATGAATTGGAAGTTGATTTGTCAGCGCTATCCTTATCTTCAGGGCAGATGTTTTTATTTTATTTGGCTTATAATTCCTTAGTAAATGTAGTATTTCATCTCGATGTACTCCATCTTTGATGTGATTTAAATCATATTCCTCGTCATCATAATTTGCTTCTGATAGTGAAGAAAGTGACACAGAGGTTATTGAAAACGAAAAAATTTCGATTGACTAATTAGTCGGTATTCTCGACACAGCAATTATAGGACTTGAACAGCGGAACTTTGTAACTGAAAAAGACATTATATCTGTTTATAGAATTAAAGAGAAAGTATTATCACATAAAACGAAGCAACTTAAACAACTTACATTGAAAGAATGTTTAATAAAGTAAACAAATAAATATAAGCTTTTTTTTTTTTCTGTAAATTTTGATACCCTTTAGATCATAATTGTTCTTTATTTCATAAATTACGGTTTCATATTTTTAATTTTATAATTTCTTTATCTGCATGCCATCTTACCAGATTTAAACTGATGATCTATAATCCGGAAAAATCAATAATCCTGGATCGCCGAAGTCCTGACGAGTTCGGATTAACGACTTTTGACTGTATAAAACATTCTGGGGACACACCTCTTTTAGGAATATTGTGGAATTTAGACAGTGATACTTTAAGGTGTAACATAAATGTAAATATGATAACTTGTGATATTAAGGTAATTAAGAGACTGATTCTGTCTATTTTACAATCAAATTTTGATCTAATTGGAATACTTGCACCAATAACTTTGCTTCCAAAACTTTTGTTACAAGAAACATGGAATTTGGAATTTTTTTGGGACGAGGTATTGCCTCATGATTTTGTAAGTAAATTTTTTGTGTGGTTATCTGATATACTTTTGTTGAAAAATGTGGCAATACCCCGATTCATTAGAACCTTTGCAACAGTTGAATTGCATGTATTTGTCGATGCCTGCAAATATGCTTATGCAGGATGTATTTTCGCGAGAAGTGTTGATTCGTGTAGTGTAAAAGCAAGAAGTGTAAAAATTTCTCTCTTAAGAGGTAATTTTTACACTTTTAAATTTTTTAGAGTAGGCTCCTATCTGATTAATTTTGAATTTGACGATTCCTAGATTAGAATTAATGTCCTGCTGTTGCATTGGATCCCGATTATTATATTCTGTTTTTGTAAAGCTCTTAATGTTTTTGATATAAATGTAACTTTATGGTGTGATTCCACAGTCACATTATGGTGGATCAGAAATCCTGGTAATTGGTCGAACTTTGTAAGCAATCGTGTTAAAGAAATTACTAAGTTGACAAAACCTGAATCATGGAGGCATGTGCTCGGTAATATGAACCCAGCAGATGTGTTATCTCGGGGTTGCTCTGCTAAACAAATGATTAACTCGGAGTGGTTTAAGGGACCTCTCTGGCTACGAGAAAGCCCTGAATTTTGGCCTAACCAATATTGTTTGTCAGCCGAACGAAGCTGACTTGGAAAAAAGGAAGGTAAAACTTATTAATGTTAACTTTTCAGAGGATACCAGTCCTTGGTATGCAGAAAGAGTTTCTGATTATGAGAAAATGATTCGTGTAACCGGTTGGGTGTTACGTTTTATTTCTAACTGTAGGAAGAATTCAAATTTGTGTAAAGAATCTAAACTAACTGTTGCTGAAATCATAAATTCCGAAAAAGTTTTGATTCGGTTGGTTCAAAGCTCAAATTTCCCTGACATTGGAGCTCTTAATCCACTTGATGTATTCATTGATAATGAAAAAATTATAAGAGTTAAAACTAGAATATTGGAACGCAAAGACAATTCTGAATTTTTAACACCAATTTTGTTACCGAGTAAATGTATCTTTACTACATTGTTAATTGAGTCAGTTCATAAGAAACATTGTCATGCTGGAACTCAAATGCTTCAATCTATTTTAAGAGAAAGATTCTGGATACTAAAACAACATAAAACTGTGCGTAATGTGTTAAAAGGGTGTGTAATATGTCAACGATATAAAGCGAAACCGATGTCTTGTGAAGTGACTCCTCTTCCTGAAGATCGCGTAGGAGATTATAGAGCTTTTGAAATTTTGGGAGTAGATTTAGCTGGCCCATTGTTTTTGAAAGACGGTAAGAAGGTTTGTATGGCACTCTTCACATGCGCTGTGTACAGGGCAATCCATCTAGAACTGGTGACTTCGTTATCAACAGAATCTTTTCTTTTGGCTTTAAGACGATTCATAGCCAGACGGGGCAGACCACGAACCATTTATTCTGACAATGGGACTAACTTCCGAGGAACTTATAACGAAATGTCTAAACTTAACTGGGACATAATAGAGAATGAGGCAAAAATAAAGAGAATAAAATAGTATGGAAATTCAATCCACCAACATCCTCCTGGTGGGGAGGTTGGTGGGAACGGCTAGTTCGCATGGTTAAAGAGCTTTTAAGACGTTTTTTGGGAAAATCGGTTTTATCTTATGAAGAACTGGAAACCTTAATTTGTGATTGTGAGTCGGTAATTAATTCTCGACCTTTAACATATATTTCGGAGAACTCTGAAGATGCTATCCCTTTAACTCCGTCAATGATTTTTAATTGAAAATTGTACTTCGGGTGTAATAGATTTACATAAAATTAACTCTCAACATTTTCTAAGAAGAATTAAATACCGCGCATAACTTCTTAACGATTTAAGGAACAGTTTCCGAAAAGAATATTTGGAGCAATTAATAATGAAACAATCACAAAATAAAGCAACTCAGTTGCCTAAAATTGGGGAGATAGTCTTAATATGGGATGATTTCAAAAGATGCTTGTATTGGCCTTTGGGTAAAATTATACAGAAAATTCCTGGTCTGGATGGCCAAGTTCGAACAGTTAAATTAAAAACTCAGAATGGGATTTTCATAAGGCCCGTTCAGCGTATTTATCCACTAGAGATACAAATAGATGAAAATTATTTAGTTGAAGAGCCTAACGTTAACGACGATAAGAAAAACGATCAGACTGACATAGAGCATATAAAACAAAAATTTACGTCATCAGGACGGCTTGTTAAGAAGCCTAATGTACTAGACCTTTTTAATAGGATAACATATGTTTTTGAGTCGTTTGCCACTGACTCAAAAAGGGGGGAGGATGTTGCATAATCTAGAAAATATTGTTAAGAATTTTATTATTACTATTTTTATTATTATTGTCTATTTTTCAAAAGTGTGTTTTTGTTTTATTATTGTGTGAAGTTTGTAACTATATGCCTTTTCTTGTGTGGCAACAACGCTTCTGTAATTCTTCGATTTGTACTTTTATGTGTGCCAAGTTTGATGGCGTAATGGTCTGGGGAGAGTGTCGATTGATTGTGTAGATGAAACTTGTTGTTTCAGAATGTTATTTCTTTAAAATATGTAAAATACATGTTATTTAGTTTCAACAATCTTGTTTATCATTTTAACGTATGCCGTTGGACATAAAATCTGCCTGCTATTTACTAAACCTCTAGACCGATCAAGTATGTGACAAAATGAGACATAAAAAAAAATCAACATAAAGCTAACTGTTAGTAAAACGTAAATGTCACTTATCGTCTTTCAAATATGATCAATTACAGAACAAAGTCTTTAATCCGGACGTCCATAATCCAGAATGATCTATAATCTGGCCCTCAAAGCCATAA